GTTATTTTTGTAATTTTATGCCTGTTTTTAAGATTCTATAGCGATTAAGAATCGTTTGGACTCAACTATTTAACCAGACTTCAGCTTTTTAAATTCTTTATTCATTATTATAACTGCCTCGTTGGCCTAGTGGTCGCAAGTGCGACTGCCGTGCAAGGGGTCTCAGGTTCGATTCAGGGTCGGGCAAAGTATAATTGGGTTTTTTTTTTAAAAATCAATAGTAGCACGATATCTGGAAATATGCCCGGTATATGGCAATAGGCTCACCCCCTATTGCTGACGATATATCACTTATCACGTCATGCCAAAACAATATGAACTTAGATAATAAGCTTAACACTCTCTTTTCTGCAGCAGTAAACTGGATGGAACACCATAATTTAGAAATCAACTTCTCTAAAACCAAACTTATGACTTTTCACCCCCAACAAAAATCCCCCCTTAAAATTGACTTCAAATTCAATAACATCCAAATAGAACAAGTAAATCAATTTACCTTACTAGGCTTATCAATAGACTCACATATCAACTGGAAATCACATATACAAAAAATTAAATCAAAGTTATCGAAATTTTCCTACGCCCTATATGAAATAAAAAAATCCACCAACTTTAAAACCGCACTTGCCACATATTATGCTTATGCCCAAGCGTGGATAAGCTATGGCATAATACTATGGGGCAATAGTACAGACTCACAGACCATATTTACCATGCAAAAAAGTTAATCAGAATAATGACAAATATAGAACAAACCGACAGATGTAGACCACATTTTAGAAATCATAAAATACTTACTTTGATATGCACCTACATCTTGGAAATTTGTAAATTTGTCAGAAACCGCCCAGAATATTACAGTACACGTGACAATAAGACAGACTACAACTTAAGACACAAAACCAGAACAAAACTTCCGAGCTCCCGACTTCATATGTATTCGTCTGGCACCCTAGTTATGTCAATAAAAATATATAACGCTGTACCGAAATACATAAAAGAAGCAGAAAAATATAACGTATTTATAAATAAATTAAAACGGTTCCTCATTGAAAAATGTTACTACACCCTTAATGAGTTTTTTGATGACCAAGCTAGCAGCAAAACTTAATACTCAATGCATACCTACCTACTCAATAAAAATCATATTAAATATAATAATACATGTACAACACCTATACATTATTAAGAAATTTATGTAAATACATATTATAATAAAATAAAGAAATATCTTCTTTCTTTAATGTTTAGTACGAAAACAACATTTCTTATGTTATAATATAATAACTATTAATAGTAGTTTAGTTAGATCATATTTTGCTCCATATGTTGCTGTGCCCTAGCCGGGTTTCATGTTGAAACTGTACCTCATGTAACACCAACAATTGTACACATGATATGCAATAAAAAATTTTGAATTTGAATTTGAATTACATGGGACTCATAACATAAATAGTGAAAAGTGGGTGTTACATTGTACAGTGGCATTAAGTGCCGAAATGCGCTCCTCTGCCTTTGGGGATAAAAAGGCGTGATGTTATGTATGTTATAATTATAACTGATGATTTGATATTCTGTATGAATATTGGCTTAGTTACACAACTTTAACAAGATCACGTTACATAAATTACAAAATTCACAATTATGTAACCCATACTGGTAGTTTCTATGTAATAATTTCTGTTATAGTTAGGTTTACAGAGAAACAAAGCTTATATAATCAGAATACAACGTTCACCTCATATTTGAGGTTTCAAAATTAATTGGAACGCTACAAACATAAACGTAATTTTGATGGAATTGCTTCACTATCACTATACAAGCTGTTCTGTTTGCCGTAGGCATCTTAGCCTATATTGAACTGGCTTTATGAATATGTTTGTTTGCAGTAAATAAGCTTAAAAATATTATGTCCTGTACAGGGAGAGCACAACGATACATCCAAATACTTAGCAATCATTAATGGGACTCTCTACCCAGTGCCATTAGCCAAACGCCATTTTAACGCTTGTCTACCGAGAGAATAGAAAACTGAATGTATGGGGATGACACTGAAAAGTGTCATTTACGTCAATCCCATATAGTTTAGTTTTCTACTCTACAAGTAGACAAGCACTAAATGGCATTTGGCCACAGCTGCTGAAACGATGACGCGTATCCTACATCGGTAACCTGGAACATAAGAGGTTCCACAATGGCGTACTTCTGGAAGCGCTGGTGTTGCACGTGTACCTACTAGGTCTGTAGTGATCGCTTACCATCACACAGAGGATTAGCTTGGTTATCACTTGAGATTTGTAAAATTAATATATAGGAATTGACATTCGTCTACAGTAAAGTTTTATTTCAAGTCCATATACCGACGTCTCTCTTCAGATGCAATACCAATAAACCATTTCTCTAAGGCGGCTGCCCCTTTGAAAAGCCAATTTCGATCCTATATAAGTAACAGTGAATATCCTACGTGTTCAAAACCTTGATGTCAATATGATGGTTTTATAATTAAAATGGCTGTAGCTCGTCGCAGGCGTGTGACAGGTATAGCTGTAACCCAATTTTAAGCTTTTTCGAATGAACGACTCGACGTCGAGTTTTAATGGCGATGCACGTGAAAATGGGTCTCTCGTATTTTTAACTGACTTACGCTGCATTTTTTGGTACATGGCTTTCATCATCATAAACTGGAATTCGTCCACTATCGTATTAAGACCTGGATTTTAAGAGGTATGTCATTATCCCTATTCTAGACGGGCTTATTAGTTTGGGGATCTCAGTTAGTCCGTTAAAATTTTAAATGGATGCTAAAGGAATATGAATCGTGGTTGTGGTAAATAATTAAAGCGTATTTTAAATTAAAATGGATGTGTTATTTAGAAAACACGGTAACCTGAGTTTTAAAAAGACAAAAGACAATGAGAGTGAAAAGTAGTGGCGTCATACACAAAAAAATAATAGATAGTTTAGTTATTCTATTATCCTATTTACCAACAAATGCTATACGGCTCGTAGCTTAGTAGCAAAAACGCGAATAATACTTTGTCCTATCAACCATTTTCTATAATAATGTGTTGTAACCTACTTCTATTTATCCAAAGTTCAATAGGATTTACGTTTTCCTACAGAGAACGATCAATATATTGTATCCAGTGTCGGACCGAGGCCAAGTTAAGAATGGAACATATGCTACAATATGGCGGACCTTATTTAAATAATTTCTTTATTATTTCGCATTTTAGTACAAAGGAATGGACGCTTGTTCCTCATTTTAGTACTGCATGTTGCTTTTCGTTTTCAAAAATAGGGCAAATATTTTTTGAAAATTGGAAGATGGGGTTTCTTTATCGGCCTTCGATAGGTATTCTTCCTAACTTTTTAAACGCTACTTAATTTTAGTATCTAGTTATTCAGGACATACAGTTGTGACGACGACAAATAGACCTGTTCTTTTTTTTTAAAAAAAAAACGTTGCCTCACACGTTGATATTCTAATGTGTCGTGGGTGCGTTTACAAACATACAAGTTCACATACCCATGACATCCAGACCCAGAACAACAATTAGTGAATCACACTGAACTGCGTATTCAACGATTCAAACTTGCGCTAAAGTTGCTATGTTACTATGCTGAGTTTTTAGCCAAACGCCACTTTAGCGCTTGTCTACAGAGAGAGTAGAAATCAAGAATTAAAATGTATGGAGATGACACTGACTAGTGTCAAAATTAGATCAATTCCATTTAATTTGGTTTTCTATTCTACATGTAGACAAGCACTAAATGGCACTTGGCCACAGCTGCAGGAATAAACAGTAAAGTACTTATGTGTTTTATAGAACTCTCTTCCAAGAGTCAGATTGTGATTGATTAAACTATCCGTTATAGCGTTTTTTTTATATATTTGAAGGACCGACATTTGACCACTATCTCGCCTGGTGGTAAGCGATGATGCGGTCTACGATGGAGCACGTCGTCCTAAAAGAAACTAAATAGGTTTCTTTGCCTTGGCCTTGTTTTATCCTCTGTGAGGCTGTGGGTGTTTATCGCAAAGCTGACAGAATTAGGAATAGTCTAAACTTAACATACCCGGTAGGTGGTAGTGTTGGCAGCATCCGTGGGTGGCAGGGACAGCAGCGCGAAGGGCAGCAGCAGCGCACTGGACATGCGCCGCGGCCCCCCCATCACTGCGCACCATTCGCGCGCGCACGCGCCTTCCTGGAACAAATTGGTACTTATTAATCCCAACTTGACTAGTTCGGACTATTTCCTAAGTCTGAATTAAAATCTGAACAATTAAGTGCCCGATTTCGGTGACCCTGAAATGGACACCTTGCTCCACAATTGCACTAAACAAAAATTGTATTTTCGTACGTTTGTAATTTCACCCCAAACTCCAAGGGCTTAGGGTGAAATTACTTTATTTAAATGCGTGTTGGCTCTTTTTTCCATAAATAGCTTTACCGTAACTTTACAATACAATCCTGAAATACTTCTTTGGCTTCGTCCTTTCTATTCCATTGGTCTGTTTTGGCTTCCTACATGTGTTGTACCTATATCATTCAGTTCCGTTCCGACACCATATAAATATAAATTCACACTGCAATTTCTCTTTCATTTTGTATTTTATTTACCACATCAGAATTTCATTTCAATACCATAGAATTTCTTTTTTTTTATTGCATAAGCCGGTAAACGAGCAGATGGATCACCTCATGGTAAGCAATCGGCGTCGCCCATGGACACTTGGAACACCAGAGGCGTTACAAGCGCGTTACCGGCCTTTTGGGGATTAGGAGTTTAAGGATCGTTGGGAATTCAGGGATTGAGGAGATTGGGGAAGGAGAGTGTAATTGGGCCTTCGGTAACCTCACTCACACGACGAAACACAACGCAAGCGTTGCTTCACGTCGGGTTTCTGTGACGCCGTGGTATCACTCCGGTCGAGCCGGCCCATTCGTGCCGAAGCATGGCTCTCCCAAACTTAATTTTCTCTCTCACACACTTTCTGAAATAAACCTTCCATTTCCACACTAATATTTAATGTGAGTGTCTGCATACAATACACGAAATATTACTACACACACACAGCTAAACGAAGTTCGAGGTAATAACAAACTTCAGCGCCTGTCACAAAAGTGCGATAGAGCTGTTGTAATAAAATTGAGCCTTCTATTTGGGAAACAACACCCACACAAATGGCAGAAGAATAAGATATTTTCATGTGTGATTGACAGGTTTACTGGAAGAATATAATATCGTGTGTACGGGAGACTTATTAAACTGTCTTCGTCACTCTATGTTCGAATTGAAAGGTGTTCGTAATTTATATTGAAATGTTTAGTGTATTATTTTTATGGCTTACCCGATAAACGAGCAGACGGATCACCTGATGGTAAGCAATCGGCGTCGCCCATGGACACCTGGAACACCAGAGGCGTTACAAGTGCGTTACCGGCCTTTTGGGGATTGGGAGTTTGAGGATGGTTGGGGATTCAGGAATTGGGGAGATTGGGGAAGGGCAGGGTATTTGGGCCTCCGGTAACCCTACTCATACGACGAAACACAACGCAAGCGTTGCTTCACGTCGGTTTTCTGTGAGGTCGTGGTATCACTCCAGTCGAGCCGGCCCATTCGTGCCGAAGCATGGCTCTCCCACACATATAACTATATATGGGTTACTTAAAGGTTGTGTTCTAAGTATAGTAAGCCCCCTGATTATATTCTTTTTACCATAATGTTCAGGCAGTGAATGATTGCCTCCTAGGCCATGTGGATATGCGACTGCCGGGGCAAGGGGTCTCGGGTTCGATTCCCGGGTTGGGCAAAGTACATTCATACATAATGTGTCTCCCATGGGGCAAAGACTATGGAATGGCATTAACGCCGTATTACTACGATTCCTACATAGGTGTATCTGTTGCTTCATCAACAGTCATCAATCTTTTTATGCACGCTCGCGTAGGTATTACTGAGTTTAAAAAAAATCTCAGTAATAGCACGGAGTCCTGAATTGTGTCCGGTATATGGCAATAGGCTCACCCCCACAAGGGACTCTTAACAAGCGAAAAGTGGGTGTTACATTGTGCAGTGGCATTAAGTGCCGTAATGTGCACCTCTGCCTACCCCTTCAGGGATAAAAGGCGTGATGTTATGTTATATAGTTCAGGCAGTTTCAATGATTAGTTTTTTGACGTAAACATTAATCATATAATATAATAACTACCATGTTCTTGTTAGATGCTCTGTAGATACCAATGAAAGATAATTGTACTATACCTACCTCTGTCTACTACTTCATTTACAGTTAAACAGACCAATGTTCCTTAGGATTTAAGAAAAGGTATTCTCAAAACTTGAAAGAGAATATATTCGTGCAAACGAGGTCGCATGCGAAAGTCCTGTAAATCACATCACAAGGACTAAGAAAATCTTTTTACAAATTCGTGTTTTGCCAACTAAAATCCATTGTACACAGAATTTATACTTCTTGATGAATGTATCTTGATAAAATAGGACATACAAAAACACGCAATACCAACAATCGTAGGTTAGGTTTTACAAAAAAAACTGCGTTTAAAAAAACCGGCTTCAAAAACCAAAAACAAACGAAAAGTAAAAACTAAAAAGCAAAAATAACTATTATTTGTCATAGGTAAGCTTACACACCCACTGGTATGTGAGAAGTCGGTGCTACAAACCCATAACAAAATATAACTAAGGTAATGGTCACAGAAGGGAAGACGATATTAAGAAAATAGCGGGCCCTCAGTGGACTACAGTAGCACAGGATAGAAAAAAGTGGAATGCTTTGGAGGAGGCCTTTACCCAATAGGGGTTCTTGCAGGATGCAAACTAACCAACACTAACAATAAATTAACTTTAAGATTTTAATTTAAACTAACAATACTAACAGCAAGAATGAAATGTAAAATTACCTGTAAGAAATAAATAGCATTTTTATTTTATTTATTTAATGGTCAATTGGTCACAGAAAAGAGCGTATTCCTTTTTAAAAGGTCGGCAACGTATCTGTGGCTCCTCTGGTTTTGCGGGTGTCCATGGTCGGAGCTGATCGCTTACCATCAGGTAATCCGACTGCTAGTTTGCCAACTATTCAATAAAAAAAGTCTTCGAGTAATCGAGTAATAAACATAAAAAAATACAGGCGACTTGAGAACCTCCTCCATTTTTTTGGAGTCAGTTGAAAAGCTATTCCAGGTCCAAGGTTATTTGTTGAACAAGTAACTATAATGTTTATTCACTCATAGTTTGTTATATCATTGTATTTATTCAGGAACATAATAAACAGACGATGTTGTCTTTTAACCTTTATGTCTATTTTTCTACGAAAATGTTAAACATTTCTTCATTTCAGCTGTTTTTGAAATTACTTTGTGTGATATAGACAAGTGAACCCTCTTTATACTCAACATCAAATCATTGATGTTATAGAACTACTAAGTACTTATAGATTCGGAATCGCGGAGAACCTAACGGGTTACCAGGGCTCCAAGTCGAAGCGCAGGAGAAGGAACGGGGTGGTTTTTATTCAGTAAGAGTCTGACACTCCCTTCCGCCTCACCCAGGCGGGACCAGTCATTCGATGATTTTCCCCCTTAAAAAAAAGTACTCGTAGAAGAAAATATCTTACTCTAGACAATAAAGTGAAAACAAGAAATAGATAACAATTAAGAGCACAAAAGACGGTCTTATCACTTCGAATGGGATCGCTATCAGTTAACTAATGTTTTTCATTTGCATAGATTTCCAGTATTCTTGCATAGTGAGGTCCAGGATTGAAAGTGGGAAGATCGTCTCACATAACTTCTGAGTTTCAGATTGTTAATCCGAATTTTCTTCGGAATCTGATACCTACCTACGCATCCTTTCTAACTTCAAACATATCTAACTGTTGTAGATTCAAATGTTTGTGAGTTTGTGTGTTAGTATGTTTGTGTCTATGTTTATGTAACTCAATCACGTAAAAACGGCTGTAGAGATCCGGCTGAAATTCCGAACAAGGATAGATTATGGTCGGTATACTACATAGGCTACTTTTTATCCCACGGGCGTGCCAAGCCGACGGCAGAAGCTAATACGTAAGAAAAGATAAAAGTGTAGAATTTCTTGTCCATTCACTGACTTAAGGTAAAAGAAAAACCTTACAAACGGAGGTTTAATAAAAAAGGTCTTCTGATACCCTCGCATTCAATCCCCTAGAACAAATATTTGTCTTACGCAGACAGTTGATCAGTCCGTCTGTTTGTTTGCGAGTCCAGTGCGAAGGGTAACCTTTTAAAAAGAAGCTGTTAGTTCATCAAACAATACATAAATTACTATAAACCTCTCACTAATCTATCAAGGATTAAATGTTATGATAGTTACACACACAACTTTGTTTCCTAACTCCCAATTTCGGCCATTAAGCTGGGGTGATGTTGTATCAAATTACCCAAATCAACAAATCTTGGACCCTAAAATGGGATCAGATTTATCGCTCCCTAGAATATCAAATCATATTGCGTTGTAATCTGAATTAAAGGGTTCATTTCGAATATTTGTTTAGTTTATATAGAGAGTTTAAGCCCAGCATTTAATTCTACGATCAAAAAATATTGAAACCGAAGTCAAAATTTAATGGTAGTCTATCTATATCTATTATATATACATACATAATAATAAAATCGTAGAAAAATCAAAACTGTACATTGAATATTTTTTATAAAGAATACGTGGAGCATAACCTACCATCGATACCGAAGCCAAAAATATGGTTATTTAAATTGTCTGTTTGTCTGTATGTATGTCCGGGATAATCTCAAAAATTACAGCATGGATTTACTTCAAATTTTGCATGAATATTACTAACAAGTCGGCTCTACATATAGGCTACATATTATCACGCTATCATCTAGGGGGAGGAGCCCTATACTAGGTACTGAATCAATTCTGACGACATTCGTTACCGTAGAATATCCCTTGATAAAGACTAATTCAAAAGCCTAAATTCTGCCAGAAGTCATTATTCTACGCGGACGAACTCGCGGGCAACAGCTAGTTAACTATAAGAATTACAAGGAATTTAGTCGTAAACAGCATAGTGGTATAACATAATATAACATCACGCCTTTTATATATATATGGCAGAGATGTACATTACGGAACTTAATGCCACTGTACAATGCAACACCCACTTTTCCAATTCCAGACTCCGT